AACCATGGCAACGGGGCAGGAATCAGTTTCCGCCCCTGCGAAATAACACCAACCGTCAACTCTTCCGCTCTAAGTCAAGAATGGCCGGGCAACACGTATCCCTCCAACTCAATTGTTCCGTTTGGAAACATGCACACGCACGCGCGTACGATACCCCGTGGACGATGTTCGTGTGTGCATGAGCCGATGAGAATATTCCAACGGGACTGTAGGAAGTGGCTACGCAGATAGGAATTGATAGTCCCCTGGGTTGCTTTCATGGTTGATCCACGGGACTCGACCCTGCGGGAGTGCTTGCTGTGTCGTGGCACTCTCTCTCTCCCGCCGCGTCCTGATCGTGTCTGCTGTCCTAAATACAAGTGATACCATCATCTTCGACACACACACGGGTATATATAGGAACACTCTAGAGTGTATCCCTCGAGGGAACCCGTGCTGGGGATGAGTGGCGCCGATGTTGCAGCAGAGGCTGCCGACGTCACCACTAGTACGCAGGGCAGAGTTGACAATCTGGAGAGCAAAGTTTCAGGCCTGACGGACGAGGTACAGCAGCTGCCAGGGCCTCTCCGAGCCGTCTTCGGAAAGTTTGAGAATGAGGGGGAGTCCGGCGGCGCTGGGGTGGGCGCTGTCGTCACGGGCACTGCGTCTGCCCGCGGTCTGGTAGAAGAGGGGCCGCACAACGACGGAATCACGCCGCCCGCACAGCACGAGGGAAGAAGCACCAGACCGGGAGCCAGCCTGGAAGTGCCAAGGATCCCTGCTGGAGTGGACCCGGGCATAGGACCGGGCAGCGGGGAGGTCATGGGGTCATCATCCCAAGAGCAGCCTGCTGCGGTGGGCGCTTGCATAGACTACACGGCTGCAGAAGAGATCATCAGCAGTAGGCCGGTTGCGGAAGGCGAACCGGTGTGGGCATTTCAGGTCCCTGCTAACGGTGGGTTTGGGAGATTCCAGAACACCGAATACCTCTACAAGATAGGCAGCGATAGTAGAGATGCAGCCGCCGCTCGAGGCGCTGGCCGAGGAGCCAGAGCAACCTACTCATCACGTCGAGAAGAGCTGTGCGGCGCTGGAGGGGGTGCCGGAGACCGTACACCAAGTGTGCCTGTTGACCGCGGGAAAGTGCTTGCGCTTAGAGAGCTGGGGCATCATGCATCCCCGCGACGCCGTCGATGTGCCGTCAAAACAACCAACGCAGGACACTGCGCGCGCACCATCCACACACAGCAGCAGCAGCAGGAGATGGTGAAGATGGCACCATGGCAGCAGCGTGGAAGGGTCAAGACACAGAAAGCCGGCCGCAAGGCGATGTGCCCATAGCCGCAACGGAAGGGGCGTGGGTGGGCAATATTCAGAGAATACGGCGAGATGGCCGTGTGCCCATAGCCGCGACGGAAGGGGCGTGGGGGGGCAACATTCAGCGAGTACGGCGAGATGGCCGTGCGCCCATAGTCGCGACGGGAGGGGCGCGGGAGGGCAACAAGCAAAACAGCCCCGTGCTGCGCAGTAAGGAGCGTGGGGGAGGGCATCATACCCAAACAATAAATGAGGCCCATGGCCGCGACGGAAGGGACGTGGGGGGGCAATGATCACAGAACACGGCGATATGGCCGTGCGCCCATAGCCGCGACGGGAGGGGCGTGGTTGGGCAACATTCAGAGAACACGGCGGTAGGGCCGTGTGCCCACAGCCGCGACGGGAGGGGCGCGGGAGGGCAACAAAATAACACGGCGGTAGGGCCGTGCGCTCGCAGCCGCGACGGGAGGGGCGCGGGGGGGCAACAACCAAATAACACGGCGGGACGGCCGTGTGCTCGCAGCTGCGACGGGAGGGGCGCGGGGGGGCGGCAATCAATGCAGCTCCATAGCGCGTCGGGAGGGCGTGGGGGGGAGGCAAACATTAGCTCCATGGCGCGTCAGACGGAGCGTGAGGGCCGAAGAAAATCGAAGCAGCCCCGTGGCGCATCGGAAGGGGCGAGAGCGGGAACCCCGCGGCAAGTCGGAAGGCGCGTGGGGGTAGGGTACTTGCATCGTGGTGCTAAAACGGGAACTCCTTTTGTGGCGAGGCTACAGGCCGGGACGAGCGCTGGGAGGGGAGGAACACGCATCACAGCGCTGGATTGTGGCACTTCTTTCTTGACGGTATTTGGTGTTTGATGATATTCGTAGCGAAGTTGGTAAATCCTCGTGAGTTGTCATTACTGTACTTTGGTTGAAGAGCCAGGGAGGGTGTTCCGTGTTTCTCGTAGGCGTTCGCGCCCACATGTTCAGTATTTCCTGATAGTCATTCGGTTGAGACCCTCATTGATTGCGGCTACGTGGTGCCGTTCTCTAGGTTGCGCAATGTGCAGGAAGATGGGATACTGTTGGAACCGCTGAAGGAACGTAGGAGGAAAAATTGGGACACCAGTGTTGTACTCCACGAGAATAGAGGATTGCCGAAAAAATGCATGCCGGTTTTGTGTCGCTCAGAAAATGTTGAATGATTGCCTTCTGCCCCGGTGCGCTGTATTTCATCAGCGAGGGGGGGCGATTTCGATGTTCGTCTGATGTTTGTTTGAAGAACAAACAGTAGTGCAGCCGCATTGTAGTTGTTTGAACCAACTCCTCAGGATAGTCTTGCACTTTTACTGCTTGCCAAGCGTTGGGATAGGGCGTTTGATGGAACGGTGAATATTGGTGGGGGTTTTGACCCGGAGGCCGGGTTTCCCCCTGTTGTTTTTTTTTCGTTGGTTTTTTGTCCGTTTGGTTTTTTGGTCACATCCGGCGTGTGAATGCCCACTAAGTGGTTAGCTACTAGCGTAAAGAACCAGGGAGGGTGTTCGTGTGTGCATGAGCGGATGAGAATATTCCAACGGGACTGTAGGAAGTGGCTACGCAGATAGGAATTGATAGTCCCCTGGGTTGGTTTCATGGGTTGATCCACGGGACTCGACCCTGCGGGAGTGCTTGCTGTGTCGTGACACTCTCTCTCTCCCGCCGCGTCCTGATCGTGTCTGCTGTCCTAAACACAAGTGATACCATCATCTTCAACACACATACATGGGTATAGTAACAGACGATTGCTTGCTGCAGTCTAGACTTTATGCGAGACGCACGGGTCACGCTGTGAAAGCGAGACCAATCCAACATGGTTGACATGAATATGCATGTGTGCGTGCGTGTGTTTTTCAATACTGCTATTCTGACTGCGTTATGGATGTATGTATTTATTTGCCAAATGTCCATTCTCTGCAAAGGTACATTGAGTTTCTAACTTTCGAGACTCAGAGGGAAGTCATGCACCTCTTTGCCTGTTGGGCTTGGCTATTGTGTCGCCTGCCCAACAATGGGAAACCGAAACTTGAACTTCCGTCGGCGTGGTTTGTTTCTTCCTGCCGATTCAGGTGATCTCGACGGTACCGGCGAGTACTCGGACGTCACCGCCGAGGTGTCCTTCACGTACGTGCGGATGCACCGGCACGCCCGGCCCCACGCCCGCCTCCTCGGCTATCGCTGCCCCGGAATCACCCACCGGAACGTCTCCCACCAATTGAACCAGAAAGTGGTGATGGTGGTATGCTTGGCCGCAGGTTGTCAACGTCGGCTTTCGTGGCCGGAGCCACGAGTGTGTTGGCCATGGCGCTGGCCCTCGCAGTGGGCGGGCAAAGTCATCTGCTCATTTTGAGAGCTCCCACAACGTCCGATAGGATGGTTGTTGCGGCGGCTGAGGCGTCCTTCGATTGGAGGGATGACTGAAACCTGGAGAGGACGAGTGACCATCGTTTCTTTCCAGCTGGCAGACTAGGCAAGGATACGTTCACATGACGTTTTTGCTCTTGGGGCACCTGAACGTCAAGAACGCGAGTGTTTCAGTCCTGCCGAGTAACGACATACTACGTAGATGGCATGTTCGTACAGCTTCGCTGTAGAAAATGGTTTCCATGGATACAACCATCGGCGCTCGCAACGTGAAAATCGGGGGAGTTCCCCATGGTAGTCGGCATCAGCACCGTAGAATTTCGACCATCCCCCAGGCAAGAAAAACGTGCTCCCTTTGTGAAGAATGAGAGAATGCGACGTGCCGATGCAGGTATGTGTGCCTGGCTCTTGCCCACAAACGCGATTCAACGTTGAGAGAGTAGGGCAACCAATACACACCATTCCGAAGATAAACCCCTCAGTTAGAAGTTGCTTTTCATCAAATCCTGTTTGTGAACGTGTATTGAGTGACAAATAAATCGCTTCGCGCCAACCCAGCCACCGTTGCTGGTTGGACAAACAAATGAAAGAACCCACGCACAGATGAATATTGTTCATCTTGTCTGCAGAACATGCGAGGGGGGCTCGTGCCGATGCACGATAAGCCAGAAGGGTTGGCTTCGCCACACAAGTCACGGATTGAGGTATCATTAACTCGACGGTGTTCGTTGCTCCTCGAACACCCGCGTTGCCGGCCCGCAAGAGATGTTCGTTTTGTTTCGTATTTCATAAAACCGTGACGAGGCTCCCATGATCAATTTCGAGGCACGAAAAAAATACCATCAATGTTTCGTAATACCTCCCGCCCGAAAACCGCACGCGCGCGCCTTAATCCCCCGCACCAAAAGCCCCGTCAAGGGCACCGCCAACTCGCTGGCATCTCTGTTGAACAACCACTCCGTCGCAAATCTTAATCGTTCCCAAAAATCACCACGCAAATGGAGCCAAAACTCCCCGACGCCCCCACTCTTTTTCCCGCAGGGTGTCGATGAACCATCGCCACGTCGATGGAAACAAAAAGGAACGAGAGTTTCTGAATAGCAGGTGCTGCAAAAACGAAGAAAAGATCACAAAAAAAAGCAGGGAGGGAGCTGGATCCTCGGGCACACCTTTCTTCTAGGCCTTCGGTCGGGGGTAGCAGGGAGGAGGGCGTCTCGTCTGCGATTCTCCCACACCTCGCAAGCGCTTCAACAAATTCAATTGCTGCCAGGACCCATATATAACCATTGGCTTCTACAGCGATACCATTGAGGCCGGATCAAATCCGGCAAGGCTAACGCCAGTCTCCCCTCACTACTCCCGGGCGCGATGATGCCAACCCAAGGCCAAAAGGCCGACACGAAAGAGATCTATCCGCGGCAATTTTCAACGCCCCGCGCCCCAAAATCATCAACCAAAACATGAACGAAAGAAAAAAACGCGAAACAGGTAAAACCACAATCCAATCACACGCAAGGACGGCGTACTGATAAACCGCCGTCCCTCTCTCTCTCCGACGGAAAATCATACCTAAACAAACAAGCAAACGAGAAAAAATCAAAGGAGGAGGGGATAATCGAGAAGACAGTCCGCCACAGCAGGCGAAACACGTTCTTTCCGTCAGCCACGCATCTTGTTGACAACCACCCCTGTCACCGCCGCATTTTCACCGTACCCGGTGCACGTGGAAGAAGCAGCCCTCACTTTCCGCACTTCAAACAACAAATTACTGAAACATCGCCACAAACCACACATTAAAACAGAACTGTTTTTGGTCAGGGTTCGATTTTTTTATTACGTGTGCAAGGGACCGACCACAACAGCCAAAGCTTTTTAAGTGAGGGTTCTGTACGAAATCCGAGAGGCAAATTTATGTAGATCTCAGACCTTCCACTAAAATGTCGGATCGTTAAATGAAAATCGGATCTTCCGCCGCAGCGGCAGTTTTGGGCGAACCTCCGGAAGCCTTGGCCGCCGCTTCCTGTGCGATGCGCTTAAGTCCTTCCAGGTCTCCCGCCTGATGTGTTCATCGTCATTTGTAGGCGGCGCGGTGCGGTGGCGGGGGTAGGGGAGGGAGGTCGCAGCGCATCCACCGTTAAGCAAGGTATGTCGATGTTATCAGGGATGCCTTCGTTGTTCTTGTTGGTTGTCGAACTTTCACATGGCGTGCGGACAAAAGCAACGACTATAACGGTTACCGGGGTAGGCGTTCTTCCCCGCCACCAGCAACACACGTTAACACCACCATCAACAACCAACGAAAACAACCAATGTCGTTGGTTGTTGATGGTGGTGTTAACGTGTGTTGCTGGTGGCGGGGAAGAACGCCTACCCCGGTAACCGTTATAGTCGTTGCTTTTGTCCGCACGCCACAGGAAAGTCCGTGCGGTCTGGCTACAGTAGCCGCAGCCCATCACCAACCTCCCTTCCACTGGCAGTTCAACTTAAACTTAAACTCGTTGATGAAAGCTTCCCACGTGTCTTCAAAAATGATCCCGCCCGCACAGTTGCGGCAAGGACTCGGCTTTTGCTTGGTTATCCCCAAGTATCCCAAAAAGCCCACACCACCCGCAACTATCACAGATCGTGTAGCGAACTTCAAAAAATATCAACCGCGGTGGCCAATTTTCGATCACAAGAAGAGAGCCGCACGAGATAGCCTTCTTCTGCATCGCTTTCATACCATAACGCGTTGACATGCTTCCCATGGAATGCGGTGGGTCCCTAGAGAGCCAGGACATTGCCGCCCAGAAGAAACTTCGGATGACGGGCAGACGTTTTGAACGAACCCTACCGCTGTGTGTAAGGAATCCACAGCATCAAGACACACACGAATAAAAACTCCGTTCGCACACAAAGCGCGCTGAAATCGTCATGCCCACCCGTCCTACAAAAAAAAACGTACCTTTTCGCACATGCCTCGGAACTGGCTGTAGGGGTCTTGCAAGAGAGCCAGAGGCGTGTCGTACTCGGCGACCTGGCCCTGGTCGAGGACCAGCACGCGGTCGTAAAACGCCACGGTGTGCAGCCTGCTTGCCAAAAAAAAAAAAAAATGTGGTCTCTCCGGAGTGTGGGCTCATGAGAGTACGGAAGTAGTGTCATCGAGGGGTGATGCGAAATGAAAATAAAGAGAGGGAGCAGGACCTCCAGCTGGCCGCCAGCTACTACCTTTGACGGCGTTGAAAAAGCTCAACAGCTCACACAGCGAACGTGTTTTTGTTGAGTTGGAAGAGCCCGGCGAACCTCAACGAACCAACAACAACAACAACAAAAAAAATATATATATATAAATCAGTCTTTAGCACGAACTAAGTAAGCAACACCTGCCACGTACAGAGTGTTAACGCCGCTTTGGCAAGCGGGAAAAAATGAGCGAGCCAAGTCAACTGTAGTCTCCATGAAATCACAAACATAATTCCGGTTGACAACAGCTCGCTTAGAAAAAAGAAAAGCACACGTCGACCGGCAAAAGGTCAAGGTCAAGATCGTACCCGAGCCATCCATGATACAATAGTCCACCTCCAATCGTGGGCCGTGTACCACAATTTGTACCCCGTCTAGTTTCAATCATCGACGAATTACCATGATAAAAACATCACCATGAACAGGCTTGTTTCACTCGTGAATGGAACAACACACCACGATCAATAGGTGGACGGATTCTAGTTCCACTGGTCGACGGCACACAACCACAGGCAACCACAACAAATACGCCTCGTCCACATCGTGGACGGTTTCATTTGCGGTACGTACCCACCACCCACCTGTGCGCGATGCAGAGGATCGTGCAATCGCCGAATCCCTCTTTCATGGCTTCCTGGATCAAGGCATCCGTTTCCGGGTCTGCGAGAGACAACCATCAGGGGGACAACACGCATGATGTCATCTATCGAACAGCCACTACCACACTACTGAGATATCCTATAATAAGCACGATCACTCGCATGTAAAGCCGTACAGGATCTTGCTATTAATAGTGTGAGGCCCCGGTTCTCAAGAAAAAAAAACGTAATGAGCGCAAGGTATATGGGTACCACGATGTCGCAAGGTCGGCAAAACAGGGAACTAGGGACTGCACAGGTATCAGGGTTAGGGTTAGGTACGCCGGCCGGGGTTTCATAGGTAATTGCACCGCATCTCACCGACGTTGGCAGTCGCCTCGTCCATGACCAGGACCGCGGCGCGCCTCAAGAGGGCCCTCGCCATGCACATGAGCTGCCGCTGCCCCACCGACAGATTGCTGCCTTCGGCGGACACTGCCACCATCGAGGAGCAAAAAGCATGACAGGAGAGCAAGAAAAAAAAGTTGGACGTGTGTGTCAACACGACGATACAGGACATGGTGAACAATGGACGAGAAGATGCCCCCAGCGTTGGAGGAGGCGTGTGCGTGGGGGGGCCCAGGGCACTACGGAAGCAACGGGGGCTGCAAAGCAACGCGGGCTGCATCTCGACTATGGCAGCTCCGCCCCTCAGCTTTTACCCTCTCAACAAGCTCGTGTGGTGTGAACGCAGCGCTTTGATCTACGCGACGAACGCGCGGCCTCAAGAGGGGATGCTCTCCTCGACGTGCTTCGTATCGGACAATGTCGTGCACCCCCCTCGGCTCTTGAGCGGCAGCGAAGCACTGCCGCCCTAAAGAGCAGCGGTGGTCGTTGTAGTACATGCGTAAAGCAGGTTCTTGGAGAGCGACCGATATGCACTGCTACTTGCGCCCCCCCCCGGCGAGATGAAGAGGATGTGAATGAACTGGTGGTGGGAGCTGCACAGAATGTGTCCGGTACGTTCGACACCAAAAAAAAAGTTGTTCTTCGTCGTTGTCGTGAGGTTGCACACCATGGGAAGGGATCTGCCCGCACTTTTCCGACGATGAAAGCTATTCCACGCGGTAGGTGTTAATCCCAGCCACCACCGCTGCAACGGACATTCAACGTCATCGAGCACGTGCCGCTCTACCACAGCGTCGACGTCCCTGAAACCACAACAGGCGGATAGCTGGAGCACTTCACGCAGCTGGAGAACTTCACACTGACAACGCCATAACGACGACGACAACGACGACGACGGCAAAGACAACGGCACCTGCGTGCTGCAGCTTCAGCTCCTGCGCGGCCACGAAATCGTGGAGCCTGCACTGACCCAGGACGTCCCAAATGTCCGAGTCGGAGTAGTCGTCGAAGGGGTCGATGTTCGACCTACCATGGACACAGATGGAGTCGTGGTCGAGGGAAACGTCAGGACTATCCAAAATGAGGTAGTTAGTAACCAAACGTTCATGATCTGGGATTCTTGATGAAAAAGGGGAGGGTATCGCTGGGGTACACAAACCGGAAAACAACAAAGTGTTGACACGGGGTAAGCTGGACGCCGCTGGTTTTCCCTCCGGCTATACGAAAGCCTTCGAAGGGCACAACCAAAAATATCCAAGAGGACGACGACAACAACAGCAACAAACAACAACAACAACAACAATAACAACAACAACAGGTTATGGTCCTCGCCTGACGGTGCCTTCGAACAAGGTCGGGTCCTGCGGGATGATGGCTAGCCGCCTCCTCAGGTCTTGGAGACCCATCCGCAGCACGTCCTCGCCGTCGACGACGACGGATGACCCGGGCATGGGCTCTACCATCCTGCGGGGTTATATCGGCAGGCCGCGACAACAACACCACCAGAAGTGGCATCAACAACGAGAACGAGAACGAGGACAAGAACAAGAGCAATGACAACAACAAAGGGAACACGCCGGTTGCGGGTGCGAGCGCGGTGACAGTCAGAGCAAAGCGAACGGCACGCTTCACACGACAGCTGGACGCGAGGGTCTCAATCAACCTGGCTTGGTCGTGGGCATCACCCCGAACGCCTACAGCTACGCCCACAACGTTTTAACATATCCGAAGCTCTGCCCAAGATTGAGGCTCGCAAAGCTACAGCCTCGATGTTGCCAGTATCGCCACTCTTCAACAGGTGAGGAAAAAGTGATCAATTTTCCGGTCAGGGGGGTGAACGCTGCTCCACGGCCACATCGCGGTAATGGAATCGCTCACCCGTCGCAAGCACAGCAGGCGTGTGACGGCACATCAACCCATGAATGACGAAGAAATAGCAAAGGTGTGTGAAGAACAGGTTGCACCTGGATTTTGCGGGAGGCAACCCTGCTCGTGGCGTTTGCCCGGCAAAACAAAAGGTAGGTATTTGCCGTTGATGACGCTGGCACTGAACTACAGGGCGCACGCGAACGGCGACCTTTTCGCGCAATTGCCACAATCTACAGCAACGTGAAAATTGAAAAATCGCCGTGTGTCACACTTCTTCCCAGTGGAGCTTCTTACCGGAAGAGGGCGTTCATGAGAGAGGATTTGCCAGCCCCGGTGCGCCCGACGATCCCCACACGAGTGCGGGGGGGAACGTGGAATGTCAAGCCGTGAAGCACCGGTTCGTTCGACGACGCGTACTGCGGCGTTTGTTTCCAGAAAGAATGCACACGAAAATGGGGGGGAGGGGAAGGTGACAGTGAGAAACTATGCAAGTACGAAGTGCTTCGACAATACGAGTACGAAAAAAACAAAAAAAAACGCAAACACCGGGCACCAACACACGCATCCCTGTACTATTCGAGTGCAAAAAGGAACCAGCATTGCGAGCACACACCGGCCTACCCACCCCTCCCTACACGTGCCGATACACAAAGCTCGGTGTAAGAATACGCTACACAGGACGCGCGTCAGGACAAAGACGAAGAGAAGGTGTTTGTGCCCTCGGCCGTCAACGCTCAACTCCTCTAGCAAAACCGCCGTCCGTACTCCCCGGTTCCGCCTGAGATTGGCCCTCTACGTAAAGAAGGCGTCAGCACTTGAAAGTCGTGGATTTCGGGAGTTTCAGGCTCAAAAAGACATCAATATTAAGGCCGTGATCATAACAACAGGGACACAGTCAACACGTCCATGTACCGAAAAACAATATGGTCCGCGATGTTGGGGTTACGCTTACCCACAGAAAGGACAAGACACAAGCCTTCGGCAAAAAAAACTCGAGAGTAGCTGTTATGCGACAACAACAACAACGACAACAACGAGAGCTGATCGCACCTTGAGGGTGAGGTTCTTGATGTCCACTTCCCCCGCCGACGGCCAGTTGGACGGCGGTCTTCGGTCCGGGATTACGGCGGGGGCCTCTTGAGGCAGCTGCAGGACACACGTACGTACACAGTTACAAACACAACCGCACTGAGACTGAACGCCGCACTGTCATTGGCCAGCTGGTTTAGCGCGGTCGATGCTAACATGCGTACAAAACACATACACGCACTGAGACTGACGTGTTTTCATTGGTCAACTGACGTGCGTTCATTGGTCAGCCGGTTAGCGTGAGGTCGATCACTGCCGGGCTTCCCTCTACACGCCGGGGCGACCGCTGGAGGATCTGCTCCATCTCGCCAGCACACTAGCAATGAGCAACCCGAAAGCCAAGACGACGGGGATGCTGGCCCTGGCGGCTCCGGCTCAGTTCCCCCCGAACAAGTCTATCGTCGCGGCGATCCCACCACCGCGGTTGCTGGGAAGGCGATTTGATTGGTTCTCTCGGAGCGGCGGCTGGAGACTCCACTCCAACGGCATCAACGGCCAGCCAAAGAAAATTTTCATGGAAGCGAGGTACAGGACCTTATCCTGTGCAACGTGCCATGAAAATTCTGAAGGCGGGTGGGTCGCTGATGCCGTGGGAGTGAAGTCTCCAGCAGCAGCTCCGGGAGAACCAATCAAATCGCCTTCCCGGCAACCGCGGTGGTAGAATCACCAGCGACAATAGACTTTTTNAGACCTATCCAACATGTGTGCACTTTGCTGTACCCGCGGTGTAAGCTGCTGTACGTGCCTATTCGCTGTGTCGGGGGTCCTGCCGAGAGCATAGACAGACCCACCGCTAGTACTACTAAAGATACACACACGCGCGTGTGAAACAACGACGATGGAAGACGCGTGGCCCGGGGGGGGAAATAGAAGACTGAGCAATCGAGCGGTGAGTTGACCTATTATAGAGGAGGCGGGTGAAGAGCAAAGCGAGGATGTTGATGGAGTGGTGAGCGAGCGAAGCGAATTGGCGACTCTGTGACGTAACGCAACTCTTTAAATAAGGATGCTTGACCGTTACGCTGGCGGGAGGGGGACCAAGAGGCAAGCCGAAGGAACTCGACACAAGTAGCCAACTGCATGCAGTAGATGCCAGCAGCAGAGAAAACGAGTTTGAGCGCCTGTTTCATCAGCCAATACTCTCGAAAAATAAACCTAAACTGCTGACGATTCGCAACGGGCCGACAGCTAAAAAAACAGAGGAGAAAACAATCTTAGCGCTCCAGTGCATATTTCACCAGCCAATATCCAACAACTTCGCATAAACCGCCGATGGTTTGCAAACAGTCGACGATTCAAAAACAACAGTGTGAACAAGCAACCGCAAAGCCAACCTTGCAGTACTCGTCCAGACGCTCGATGGAGTTGACGCTCATCTCCATCTGCGCGTGGAGCCTAACCGTGAACACGATGGTGAGGGTGAAGTTGAGCGAGTAGGTTATCACCAGGCCCGCGGTGGAACCGTCGATGCTCGAGACCTGCGAGTCAGTCGGCCACCGCACCACAAAAAAAAAAAAAACAGCGCCGAGGTAAGCCAAGCATGCACACATGATATTTGCAGAATAACGCGCGAGCGTTGACCGAAACAAAAAAATAAGACCGGAACAACATTATCGTGTAGTTGTTACCCTTGGCAAGGGAACGCCGAGTGACAGCTGAGGGTACGAGCTCTGTTAATGAAATCAATAGAATCTCTTGTTCTGGAACCACCCTATGCATGGAGGAAGATTTTAACACGAAAAGTTCGAAACATGGACAGGTCGGAAAATATGGTCAACGAAAACGAAAACACCATTATCTTCCTTCCATCTTCAGAAAGCTCAGGTTCGCGGACATGTTCCTCGGCGTGGAATTTCCCTGTAGCAGCAGGCTCACGTTACCCCAAAAGCATACCCATCAAACAAGCAACTAGCCCATCCCACAAATGGGGCTGACCGCCAACATATATACATGAAGCCAACGCACCCTCCGTTTTCGCTGCTCAGCCGCAGTGGCCAACAAAACTGCTCTATTTAACAATCCGAAGACATCAATTTGTTATCCCGTATTCCCATCATACAGTATCATGAGTATCACGAAGAATAACACCAAGAAGCCACTCGACAAACCTCAAACACAAAAATAAACACGCCTCCCATGGGTACGAGGGCACGGTAACTCATCGGACGGGGGGGGGGAGGGCGGTGCGAGTTACCCCCCAAGCTTCAAGCTCATCCTTGTGAAACGCAGCCTGGGCCGGCGAAAACCCGACATAAGGTCCACGGTCTAACGACTTCGGCATGTAATACATGAGTACTTCCCCCCCCCCCGAGGAATCCCATCACGAGGGACCCCCAGGCACTCACCGAGCCCACGAGGAAGCCGCCAACCAGGGCGCACACGGCGGCCCCAATCATGCGGACGCGGTTGGTGAGCCAGTAGTTCGAGCACCACAGGGAGAAGTGGGCGCGGTTGAGATTGTTGACGCGGTCCTCGCTTCCTTTGATAAACCTATTCTCCGCCTGGGATGACAAGAAGAGAAAAAAATGGAGTTTAGAGGGGGGATCGTGGGGCATGTGCGGTTTGCTGTGGGTATGCTGTCGGCGAAAGGCCAAGTACGAAGGCATGCTGGAAAACTCAATACATGTTCGCGGAAAGGATGCATGTGTATCGAGATCAGAGAGGCGTTGTTCTCTCGTACTGCCATGTAAAAAAATGGATTATGACCATGGAAAAACGGGGACATGCGTAAACGAGGGGCCGGGAGCGTACCTACGGCAGACCTCGCAAAGAAGGGAAGAAACAGCCGCTGGCAGTGCTTGTCACCGAGAGTAGATTTGAGGTACTCATCAGCAGACCGACGTGCTCACGGCTCTCGCTGGACAACATTCCAGAAAAAAAAGGGCGCGGAGGGGGGCGGGGCAACGATGCAACTGCTCGCTCACGAACCTCATAAGCGCGGATGGTGGCCACGCCGCTCACGCTCTCGCCGAAGTGCGCGTACAGGGGGCTCCGCGTGACTGCCTCGAGGCGCTTCAACTGCCGAGACGTCTGGATTTAGAAGAAGAAAAAAAACGTGTGAAACGGGACGGGGGGAGAGAGACTAGACCCGCATACGTGGATGATGCCTGCTGAGCACGGGCGGGCACGGCAGGCAAGGGTATCACGACGATCTCTAAAACCATTCACGGTGCCCCCCGCACAAGAAGACCCACACCCTACGGACCAGGAGAGGTGGCCCCTTGCAACGCACAACGACGAGAACACCAGTTCACACGCAAACGCTAACACAAGGGAAACTCGAACTAAACTATCAAATCGCAAAGCGATACGGAACATTCTATTTCATTTTTCGATTCGACACATTTCTCCTCATCCCACACGGCGCATAGAACATTTGAGACGTTCGCGCATGGCGTGCGACTTCTAGGAGGGTGGTCCGTACGCGTCACCAACTTTTCACTAATTTTTCTTCCACTCTATTTTCAGAATAATGACCAAAATCGACAACGAGTACTCGAGGCAACTGCCTTCGGAGCACAGGCCTAGCGATTTCGAGTGTACCTGGAGCGATTGTCAGTTATTGTGCTTCACATAGGGGAATGCCTACGTGTGGTGCCCGGCGGTACAGTAGCAGTCCGAGACAGGAACGCTTCAAATAGGGGTGCTCGCATTCGTATGTACGGTGCGTCCACCCCGAGGTGGCCGGTCGAGTCAGACGCGAACGCTTCACATAGGGGTGCTTGCATTCGTATGTACGGCGTGTTCACCTGGAGGTAGCGGTTCGAGTAGTAGTAGCAGAGCCCCAAGACGGGCATCATGGCCACCGTGAGCACGGGGATGGCCGTGGCGATCACCACCACCACGCCAACTACTCCAAGAAGCTGCAACACCGAACCGAAAGGAGAAGGAAAAAACAATAAGAGGGAGGGGAGAGGAGTTGAGAGAGGGGGGTTCCACTCCACGAAGCTGCGCGAGTGGAAGAGGATAACATAAGCGAGAGACACAAAAGAAGGTGGGGGGGGGGGGGGGGGGGGG